GTCCACATCCTCTTTCTCCCTATTGGCTGGTTTCTCTCTCACCCTCAGGGTTTTAGAGCAATGCAGCTGAGGCCCTCATGTGGTTTGTGAGGTCTAATCATACAGTTTGAGATGAAAAAATTAGCAGGGAGGAAACCGCTACACATATCTCGCTACAGAAATCTAATTTGTATTAAAAATATACCTCTAATGGAAATTCACTGTTACCCCATTTTAATGTACGTGTGTCCACATGAATATAAAAGTTTATTTTTCTGTTTCTGCGGAGGTCGAGGAGATGAACTCACCCTTGCGAGGGGCTCTGTAGGTCTCCCCCCTGGTCAGATTGTACTCTATCTCCTCATAAATGGCCTCGTGCAGAGGGGTGAGACCCTCCTGGTACAGAGCTGTGGAGGTGGACATACAGAGACACAGCTGACAGTCCAGGCTACATTTTTCACTCTAATCAAAAGCCCACATTTCCCATAAATCTGTGTATTATTATGGCTTATTAAATAATCATGGGAACAACAGTGTCCTTTGCTGTTGTATATGAAGTCTCTCCGTATTTGTCAGCAGTTGAGTAGCTCTTTGTTTCATTTTCTGTAGTTTTATCTCAATCCCACCCCATTGTCAAATAAATCTAAGAGCAAAATATTTCTAAATTAGGCTGTTGCTATTGGCTTATTCCCTGTATCACATGACCCCTGACCCCCATCTGTCTACCACTGAAGCCAACAATGGAAAATTTAGGAAATAATACAGACTTAATATGAACCATTCAGATATACCATTCTTAATGTGAGTCACCCTACAGCCCTATCCTTGTGTACCTCTCTTCAGCACTCTGTTCTGGTACAACTGGACAGCCGTTATCACCAGCAGCAGGAAGAGAAGAGCTCCCAGTACCAGGAAGACCACAAAAGGAATGGAAAGGGGTACAACTGGAGGAGGAACTAACAGAGAGACTCAGTATAAAATGTGTCTGACGGTGCAGAATGATTGTACTAATTAAACATGCAAACATAGTTTGTGCTGATTTTCAAAATAAAATGGTTGGAAATGAAAAGCCGTGGCTGTAATAACTAAGACTTTATTTTTAAAAAAAATCGGGAACATCCATGTTCTGAGCACTTGTCATGGTCAGAGCTGCAGAGTTACAGAAATGTATTTAAATTACTCTCCCATAAGAACTTGCTATATAACAGAATATAAAAATACCTTTTTTCGTTGTTGTGGATGTTGATGGAAACTCTGAAAGAGTAAATAGATATCGATATATAAACAGAATTAATCCTACATTTGATAAACTCCTCAGCACTATACATTAAATACATCAACTTCACCTGTAGTGGCCTTAAGCAGCGATGAACCTGTGAAATTGAAGCATTGAAGGTTATTGATAAACGTTCTGTCAGTTTTACATTTTTTTTTCCAGAACTATATTTGTTCTAAAAGAAAAATGGCCATAATGTTGAGGTTACAGTCTGTCTGCAGCCCCAGTCCCACCTGCACAGGTAACACCAGCATCCTC